AATAACAATAATAATAATGATAATGATAATAATAATAATAATAATAACAATAACAATAATAATAATGATAATGATAATGATAATAATAATAATAATATCCTATTGTCATCCTTCCCATTCATTCTTTTTGCTGGATAATTTTTTTTTTCAAAGGGTTAAAAGTACATCTTAAAACTGCAATCCAGGAACATTCAGAACAATCACTCAAATAGTTAATAATTATGATGAATATAAACAATAATTACAAGACTTGTAATAATTATAATGATGACAATTACAGTAATTACAATGATGTGCTTTTTTTTTGTGATAAATTATGACTGATGATGAAGTCGAAGTGGTAATGAAACATGTAACCAACTGAGTTGTTTTGGAAAGAAAGTGAGGTGATCTGCTGTATCTTTGATTGTTACCCAGTACTTATGATCGACAAGGAGTATATTGCTAATGATTAGAAATGCTCAAAACACCCATCATTTTTGCTTTTTTTAAAATTAAAAGAAAGGAAGGAACACTTGTCCAATCTGAGGTGGAAAAATCATCGTTTGAAAATTTGTTGGTAGGTTTTTGAAATTTCAGTTTTTGATTCGAAATGGAATTAAATCAACTTTTTTTCCCCATTATATCGTAGAGTAACGGTTGCATGAACAAATCCATTTATAATAGCAGCTGTTTTATAGCGAAATGCGACAACTAACTGAATGGATGGGACATCTCTTAAAATTGGCACCACTTTGCGCCCCTCACTATTTCCCAATATCGTTTCCCTCTAAAACCTGTCCTTTCTTCGTTTAAACTTATCTCTACCTCCATCTGATCTTCTTTTTTTGTTATTCCAGGAAATACACGTGCACTCCCTCCACCACTCCTACTGCAGTTCACAATCAGCGTGCTTTTGGGGCTCTTTTTCCCTCATCTGTATCAGTCTACTTCACCATTAAACAAATCATTGTCAATCATCGCTGCCCCTGCTGCTACTGTTAATCAGACTCTTTCCACAACAAACATTACTGTACGGTATCACACACTCGAAACATGGATCACACTATTTCATCTGAATTTAATACTTCCAGAGAGTAAAGTTCTCCCGTCCCTTCCCCTTCTTCCTACAAAGACAATACTCGGCATGACAAGTTCTGTTGATTTTTGCTTCAGATAAAATCTCTTCATACTTTCCCCTTTCTCTCATCCGCTACTTAAATCTTTCTACCTTGAACCTGATTTCAGTACAAATTGCTCAGCTTCAAAATTTTGAAAGCGATCAGCTGAAGTCAACTATCGTAAACGATATTGCTTTTCTATGTCGGTATACGTGTGTACCAGTGTGTACGTATGTATGTGTGCATGTATGTATGTATGTATGTATGTCCGTATGTCTGTTGTTTCTTATCCATGTAATTGTTGTACATTGCCAAACACTCTGCATCCAAACGGCATACGTAACATCATCAGTCATGCATAAAATTGCGATCGTCGTCGTTATTACTGACTGCGAGATGGATGTCATTGCGAAATTTTCCTTTAAAAATGCAAAGAAATTTGTGATTAACTGCAAAATTCCAATTTCACTACAAAAATTTCAATACCGATAAGAAATTCGTTATTGCTTTTACTATTATTACTTAGAACTAGCACCGATTTCTTGACAATCAAACCTCTTACAAATCCCTTTCATTAACGATAAAAATTAACCATTCTCTAATTTTTGCTATTTTATGCCTTTGACCACCTTTTGTCTTTAGAATTTTCATCGTTCCGAACGAATAGAGCTGATAATTACTGATTATCAGTGTTAGAAATAAAATTAATATTGCATGGAGAAATTCGTATTGAAGGAACCCATAAAATGTAGTATTTCGAACCACACAAATTCTCTTTTAATTGATTGAATTTCAATCAAAGACAGTGCTTCTGTCCTTGTGATTTCACATTTCGACATCTTCCACTGCCATATATGAAAAATCACTTTGAGCACTTAGGTTCCGGTTTTTCATTTTTTGCTATATCTTCTTAGCAAAATATTTTTCCAGGACAAGAATAAGGAGCAACAGTAAATTAATAATGAGGAATTGGAAAACTGTATAATCGCAATTTTCTGGACATATGTGAATTATTTATATTTTATTGACTGAGAAAATTTTTCTAGGTCAAAATAATCCGGTTGTTTTGTTTGCGACGTTAGAGATAATGCAAACGAGATATTTCGATTTTCTATCCCGTCCTTCCTAACATCTTTGTTGAATTTATTTTCATTTGAAAAATGAACAGTTCCAAGTTGGAGGCTTTTACCTCCGACTACTACCAGAAAAAAATTGGATTGTCCGGAAGATTGCTTGCAACAGCTGGTATAACTGGACTCACCAATTGAAGATTTAAAGTGAAAAAAAAAACTTTCGAACTCAAAGCCATGAAAAAGTTCAGGCAATGTGCTGGCCTTGTGGTCGTTTTCAATTTTTCATTGTTATTGTTAATCGACAATTGAAAAATGAATCATTTCAAATAAGCTGTTTTTGACAGTTGGACAACTTGGAAACTCCGGAGTATAAATCATTTGCTCACAGAATATCCTTATTGTGCGGTTTACAAAATCTATTCAACCCTCTTGAAAATTTGATTGCTATTCCCAAAATTTAATCATGAGAAATAACTACTGGTTACATGAGATACATTTCGCGGTCTAATAACTTCACTAAACATTTTGAAAGCATTAGTATAATTTAACAATAGAGAGACATATAAACTCTGCTTTGATGAATGGTGTGTCCCAAGTTCGAGTCAACTAGAGTTTGGAAATTAACTTTTTTTTTCTCGATTCAGCAATTGAAATCAAATGTCGTAACTTTTACAAATCCTTAGATTTCTGGAGTACAGGGTCAACCGGAAATTGTTAGCTAGGTAAGAAAACTATGATACTGAAATCACCTCTTAAAATAATTTTAGGATTAGAATTTGAATATCCATTGCAATGCTTGGCGTAAAATATTCTTATATTAGTGTTTAGAATCTGAACATCAATCGATAAACCTTAACTTTTTCAGGAGAAAAAATATTGATAAACCTCCAAATTCTTGGAGCGTTTTTGGAGCTGGTCAGTTATTTTTTGTAAAACGTTTCCTGTAATCTATTTGTATGTTATGTGCCCTTTATCTGTATAACGTTTACATTCCCTTTGGACTCTTGAAATTTGGATGTCTTTTGTACTTTCAGTTAACTCATCTAAAACTGATTCTCACGTTACATACTTAAGCACAGTTGCAATGATTATTACGAATGCTTTTCCATTTCATTCATGATATTTACATTTAATTAATCTAATATCATAGGCTTTCAAAAATTTAATTAATTAGTACTTTATTTGCTGAATTCAACCAAAATTCAATTTTCGAACTTTTTTCTTATGAATGTCAAATTAATTCGTCTTTTTTGTTGCTTGTGGTGGATCTATTTTTATGCTACAGAGTAAGAAGGAAGTTTTAATAAAATCGAGGTTTAGCACTTAATTTTGGCTTAAAATGATTCCCGGAGATGAATTTCATGACCGAGTCATTTCGACCTGGTGGTCGAAAATCAAATTTGCATAAGGTAATTTATCATTTTATGCACATACCGTTCTGAATGGTGTTTGTTTAACAAGATATACCGCTAATCATGTTGCCCTGCTGTGTGCACTTTTTGTTTGCCTTAATTGAACTTTATTCATTTCACAGATTGAAGAAACAGGTTGTATTGAAAATAAAACATGATATGAATTTAAGCTAATTGTCAGACAAAGTTCTAGATAAATTAATCTTTCCCAGGAAAATCGTAGATGGGAAGAAAAAGAAGAGAAAAAGAAATGGATGTTGTTTTATCGTTTCACAATCTAAGAATGAATGCATAACAATATCATGGTTAACTTGCACCAATTCACCGCTTACATAGGAATGATCAATTCATTGATGAATCAGGACGTTAAAAATGCGTGAGATTTTATTTTCTCTCAAATACTTAAGTAGCAGAACTGCGCGAGATTTCAACGCGCTATTTTCGGGATGTGCGGAGGATATAGTGCCGAAAAAAAGAGATTGAAAGGCAGTTTTGACAGTGATTACTAGATAAGGCTAGGAATAATGATTCGCATATAATAAAGGGCGGATTGTATAATGTTGTTGGTCATCCTCCTTTCTATCGAAAGGAATGTCCAAGTCAACTTCTCCTGATACATTGTTTTTCATCAGGTCAGATTTTGCATATTTATGTAATTTTAATTTCCCCTTCAAGAATGGTGGATCTTCCGAAACAGCATAAAATTTTGCGAAAATTTTAAATTAAGAAGGTGCTCATGGCGAAAGTTTTTAATTATTGCAAATTTGTTAAATTTTCACTATTTTTAAAATTTCATGGTGTTGCAACTTTGTTTTTACCATTTAAATCGGCATATAATTATTTGGTATTTGGTTGAATTAATTTCGTCTTAACTTATCTGAGGACGTAATCCAGTATGTAGCGATCAAATCATATCAGTCACATTTTCCATTTTTAAATAAATAATCAGTTACATTGTTTTGCTTCCCTGCAAAAAAATGATTACGGTTTTCAAAAATTATGTATAAGTCCTTTTTTCTCAAAATTCCGACAATTATAACACCCTGAATATTGTTCCTTTTCCCATTTTATATTCAAAATAGGGTTAATGCACTTCATTAAATTACAATTTTCTCCCGCAAAAGTACTGCTTGAATTAGCAGTCCAAATTTGCCAATTTATCAATTAAGATCTAACCATGTTTTAAAATCGAAAGCTCCAACGGATGCTTTACTACTGAACAGAAAAGATTTTTTTTTCGCTGTAGATCCAATGAAATCATTGCCTTTCTCAAAATGCTTAAAAATGAATGTCTTTTTTGTAACAAATTGTTTTTCTTCATGAAATCATTGATGAGCTTAAGATAGCCATAATGGAAAAATGACCCTTTGAATCGAACAAATAAAAATGTAAGAATCATAATATCATGGCGACAGCAATTGCTATTTGTCGAACTTCATCAATTAAAACATTCAGCGAAAATCTGAAAAGACTTGCATAGTGGAATTATGGAACTAATACTAGCTTGACACGGTTCGTTAACCCTGTTGTTCGTCAAGAGTACGTTTTGTCGAAGAAGATGGAAGAATGAGCTTTTTTGAATTAAGAACAACAGATGTATCAATGTTATCCATTATCCATTTTTTATTCTTCTATTTTTTTTTGTGCCATATGAGATGTAGTACAAATAAGAAAATGGATATTTGGAAAATTAATTCATTTTATAAAACAGAAATTTTGAAAAACATCTCAACGCTGAAATGCTTACGATCGGTAATAACACACTGCGATGTTTTTTCAAAATGATTGAAAAAATTTTGCCGCTTTCAAGAAAATTCACTTTAATCTTCTTTCCTTGGCTTTACTAATTATGAAATTCTTATTAATCCTAAAGCACATTAGTATTTGCTGTTCAGAGATCGGAATTATAGTTTGTTCACATTAAGATAATAAGATTATGGAAAAGTGCTATGATCTGATTACTGTGACCATTTGATAACTTTATAATTTATGCTGTTCTACATTTTTTAAAGCAAAAATTTCCAATTGTAATAATAGTTTTTTGGATATTCTATAATGAATAATGACCATTAATGATGTTGCATAATAATGATAATGAACAATCCGGTATATAGTCGGTATATAGGGGAATTGTAAACTTCAAGTTGAACTGAAAAAAAAAATCGCTATCGGTTTGATGATATTTGCAAAATTTCTTCCTTTCTATGAATGCTAGAATAAATCTTATTGCTAAAAAATGAGTTCTTGCAAGACCTTCTTGCACAATTTATTGTGTACCGATGTGCGCTTGACCCTGCCCCATGTTCTTTCCATGTTTTCTTTCGTGTCACAGTAAATGTCATCCAGCCACTCCATCGTCAATATACACAGATCGTATTTCTTGTCTTTCTTTCCTCCTCCTTCTTCTCCGCCCCCTTTCTTCCCTCTCCTTTTCACTTAGAGAGAAAGACGAGCACTTTACTTCTCTAGCCAGTTTTATTTACTAATTCACTTTGCTTTCAGAATCAAACATGGTACCAAATTTTCACTCGTATTTATTTCCTTGGTTCTTAGCAGTTTTATCAGGTATTTCAAGAATTAAATGATTATACTTCCGTAATTATTCAATCATCCAAAGAAAACAGTAGCACTTTATTTTTATTTGAAAGTTGTAATTATTGACCGTAAAATGTATGGATACTCCAACTGCTTCTCTATTTAATAAAAAGTGAACAGATCAATTTCAAGAATATGCACAGTTGAAGATATTTGCAAAACGAGTTCATTTCAGGTTCAGCAGCTGATTCTAACTTAACAATCAATTCCTACGATCCTGAATATGGAGTATATATTGGCGAATTACCTGATCCATCAGATGCAGATATTAAAGGACGAGTTTATATTGTAAATGAAACAACTTTGCAAGTCATCAATTTCACTTACAATGGAAAAGCACCAGGTAAGCTGAATTTCAGTACATTTCTTAAAATTACCGCCATTCTGGTACTGTTTCTACCTCCACTTCGTAATTCATCTTGTGCGTTCAGGAAATTCTGGAAAACCAAGGATCATTTAAAAACTCGGGTAAATTTCCAAGTACTTACCATCTGTTTTTGCCTTTATCGTTGATTTTTATTATGCAGATGCATTTCTGTGGAAGTATGTAATTTGAAATTAAAAAGCAAAAAAAAAAAAAA